TCTCTTAATCACCTATAGGGGCGCTAGAGTTGGTTATTACATGTGCATCTCATGTGGCCAGCATGACTCATATACCCAACTTATAGCATATCTGGATGTATGTTCGCAATCATGTCGGGTGATCAAGCCGACAACGTTTGCGAGGAATTATCCATTAACAACCTATTCCCAAATAGTTCAGCCGTAGCCGTCGCTATTTATGTGATAGGTCGTCGGTCTTCGTTGGTAGGTTGCGTGTGACAACTAAGCATTTGTCGAGAGCGTTCTCGATGATGGGGTGCACTCGACCATAACCTACTTGAGTGCTCAGTTGTTCCTGAAAAATATTTTCTAGAAGGCAAGATATATAGCAGAGAATATCGAGTATGTACTTAAAAAACTGCATGAACTTTCTAGTATTATCAGGATATAGCGAGCAGATTAAATATCAGACATTATGTAAACCATAAGCAAGTACTACCACCGTTTTTTAATAGATGACGCCGTTGACTTTTTCTCACATATTTGACCATTCGTCTTATTCAAAAAATTTACGTAATTATAATTTATTTTGTTATGAGTTGTTTTATTACTCATAGTACTTTAAGTGTTATTTATATCTTATACATTTGCATAAAATTTTTGAATAAGACGAATGGTCAAACATGTGAAAAAAAGTCAACGGCGTCATCTATTAAAAAACGGAGGGAGTATGATTTATATATAAGAAAATAGAGCGAGCCCCAACATTAAACCATAGTCAGCCTAACATTGGAAACACTCGCATAACATATATTGTATATATAAAAACATGCTCTAGGTAAACATAATAAATTATGGATCTGGCAATATTGTATGATCTGAAAAATAGGTACGGTAAATTGTATATAAAATATTGCGTACCTTTGTAGATACATGCCGGATGTATCTACGAAATTAATATATTAATTTAAAATAATTAAACTAGTAATTACCTTTGTTTGTGTACTGATTGGTCTGAATGCAAGCGTCATGTGTGTTGATGTGTCATGGAGTCGACCTATCTCTGCTCCTGCATCATGCTTGTGTAGCCCAATTGGTTTCTTCGGCACAGCATCCCGTCGTATCCGAGAACAAGTCAAAACTCAATCATGAGGGCCATCGGACTTGGTCGGCGGTGGTAAGTGTGCATGTATAAACCAGGGAACAATAAAAAACACATGAGCAGTACTAAAAGAACGAGACCGATATAACTATGATTACAACCAGAAGTAGAACGGTTAACCTGCTGACGGTAGATTAATTTTAAGATTTCGGCGGCGGACGTATGCTCGGGAGTGGTTGGAACGGACCGAGATCTCGTGGCCGACAATGCTAAACCGATGTCCTCCGTGATATCTCCCAAAGCCAAAGTCGAGAGATTGTTGTCGGGAAATCCATTTCTTAAACCCATCTCGTCAAAACCTTGAAGCACCAAAAATCCCCCTACCTGGCGCGCCACTGTCGACCCCTACCTGGCGCGCTACTGTCGACGTTTCATATCGCGACTACGGTATTTGCATAGTATGGGAATCGTTGGTACCAGGGTATATGCGATATTGAAGTAAAAGAGACGGAGACAAGGATTTTTATATAGGTTCGGGCCCCTTATCTGATAGGTAATAGCCCTACGTCCTGTTGGCCGAAGCCGGTGTTGCTCTTTATTCATCAGGATCACACAAGTACAATATTTGGGATAACATATTTAGTTGTCGTCGACTTGGCGGCTAGATAACCAACTTGTAGTCGATGACATGATAGTCTTCCTCCTCGAATCCGCACTCGGCGTGATCAGAGATAGTGCTAGATCCCTCTTGCCGGCCTCCGTAGGAACCGGATGGGGTATGTTTAGGCTAATCTCTGATATTGATATCTGACGGCATGTCTTGGCTTGTATTGATCTATGTTGATTTTGTGGCTTCCCCCTCTCCTCCTAGGGGGGCTTGTGTTTATACCCATAGATGCCCCCTTGTCTAAGTAAAACTAGGGAGACCAATATAGATATAATCTGAGTAATCCTTGTCGTTTCCATATAGAACTCTACTTGTTCTTCCTTATCTGGAACTCCTATATACGAGGTATGATTCCGTATAAGACTTGGTATGTAGTGGGCTCCGCTGAGCTTAGTCGATTACTATTGGGTATGTGGTATCAATAACCATGACAGAGCCATCTTGAGTCCGTTTACTCAATCAACCCTTCGTCTTCCTATGCGCACATCTCTCTAGGTCTTTTTCGCCATCAAGAAACCCTAACTCTCCTTTTCCTCTGCCATCCCCTAATTCGATTTGATGGATTTGGAAAAACCACCATCGACACCGTCGAGGTGAAGAAACTGCACGTGGAGGGATCTCTTCCCGAGTGTAACAACGTGGAGCGCTCAGAAGGTGGTACTGAACCTAAACCCGCTCTAGGACAAATTGTAGTTTTAGAGATTTCGTTCAGTGTGGTTTTCTACCTCCTTCTTCTGAGTTCCTTCTACTTCTTCTGAATTTTTACGGCCTTCATCTTCTCCACCTGAACCCAAATTCCATCGCTTTCATGAGCATCTTCGCTCACCATTGTGAGGCTTACCTTGGGGTAGTACCATTTCTTGATCTGTTTTGCTATTTTTATGAGCTTCAATGGATGGAATCTTGCAAAATCTCTAGATGCTGCGGTTTCCGTCTCCAAGATTGGATGAAGGCGGAATACATCCCCTTCAACTACCATTCATCTCGGAGCTCATGGAGATCGAAGTGCTTCTATCTCCATGTAGAAGAACTCTCTTATGTCCTTGTTGTCCTAGACGAGCAACCAGAACACTCCACCTCCTGGACCTCTAAACCTTCCTTGACCCCCTCCCTCCAAGCCTTCGTAGACAAATTCCATAGCCTCTGAGAACAAGGGTCTCTGAGAACAAGGGTTGTTGAGGTATAAGGTCACCGCTGACTTCATACGTCGTCGAATCCAACCTCTCCAAGCTCGTGCTCACCCCACGTTCGATTACATAGGAGCTAACGACGAGACACGGATATTAGATCGGGGTATTCGTTCTCGGAACCCACTTGCTCTTGATTCGTGTAATGACTTTATTATTGACTTATGATATATGCATAACCCCACTGTAGTTCTCGATGACAAAACCTTGGGTACGAGAGTGGGTCATGTTGTCATCAGTCCTCCATCGGACTCCGACAAATTACCGACTTCCATCTGTGACCTCTCTTCTGTTGATAAGGACGCCACCATCAATTAAGCAGTTCCCTATTACTCCGCCTTTCCTTCATGTATTTTTGAATCTGAAGACGGAGTAATCTAAAATCATGTAGGCTCTTCCTCTGACGGATGAAATTGGCCCCCTTGTCGATCATCAAGCCTCCTCCACCCTGAAAGACAAGGTTGCCTCTGAGCAAACTGATGCCGTGATCATGCCAAGCGGCAGTGGCGCCAAGGTGCCTAAGAGGAAATGGGCGGGTGTGTCCAAACACTCCCCTGGCGTCGGTACACTTGTTCAGACAAGCAACTCTGAGGTGAGTTCCGACTACATCTCTTGTGAACAGGCTCTATCAAAGACGACATCGTTCTCACTCGCTTTCTTCTCCAAGCCGCCATCGGAGCTCCCCCAGCACCGCGGAGGAAACTCCTGAAGCGGCACAAACCAAAGTAAGTGAAGTCTCAAACATCGTTGTCTTGTCTTGCATTTTTTTGTTTCTGTTTCTATTATTTCTAACTTGTGCTTCTGATAGCATTTCTCCCGCGACTTCCGCTCAAAGCGTAGGTCGTGTGGACACCAGTTTGTCCCCACCGGCCGTTGTCGTGACCACGCGAACTCTGCCCGCTCCTTCTCCTCCTTCACTGCCTGCCATCTCGTCTGTGCCCGGAGCCGACAAGTTGGCCGAGGCATGCTGCCTACTCGAAATGGGCACCCGCGAGATGCTCGCCAGGATCGAGCGACTTGGGAAAGTCGCTTCGTCCTCGGATGGGTGCGTCGTGCAATTGGAGAGCCAGCTCGCGGAGGCACGCGAGGACCTTCAGAAGATGAAGGACCTTGTCGCAGGCCACGAGCAACAACGGCAGGGACTGGAGACACGGATGGTGTAGACGAAGGGCCACTTGGCACCAATCCGTGAGGGGATGCAGCAAATTTACGGTCGGATGGACACGCTAGCGCGTAGTTTGGGGATCCACGATAGGGTTCCTCCTTACTCCGACGAGACCACGATAGTATCCTCGCTAGCCGACCTTATCGAGAAACTTGAAGAAGTTCCCAGTAACCACGCTGTGGGGGTGGCCGAGGACACATGTGCTGGTCTTCGTACCGACGCATGCCACGTCCTCACGTGTGTATGGCTCACGCACCCTGAGATCGACCTTAAGGAGGTCCTCAAAAAGGGTGGAGCCGAACCATCGTGCGAGGATGTGATGTCAGAGGTTGAGTAGCTCGAGAAAATCATGATCCCCTTTTTTGGTTGGGACCTTCTATACAACGGTTTGTCAAGTTAAGGGACTCCCTATATCTGGTATTGCGGTTTGAAGACAAATTTGAACTCGGCCACAAGTTGAGGAACCTATAGTGAACTTGTTCCGCTCAGATTAACAAATGAGAATATAAAAATATCTCTTATGTTGTACATAGTCTCTTCCTCAATTCTTAAAACTCCCAATTCTGAATCGTCTGGTGTGCTGCAAGTAGGGATGGCAATGGAGACCTGATAATTGATTCCTCGTAGTGAACTCACATATTAGAGAATGGGGATGGTTGGTATGACATAAATATCATTGATATCTATCCTCCATGAGGAGGAATCAAATGGTCCCAAACTTACTAGCATCGGCGATAACGGGGTGGAGACGGCGCGCGGTGACCCGCATTCACTGTAGCTAGACCAATTCTAGACTTTCCAGACGTTTTGACCCTTGAAGCCCAATTAACAAGTATATATTACCACCTAACACTAATCAACCAGTCAACCACCACATCTTCCAGATCCAGACGCAGACCGCTCCGCCACACCGGCCACCAGGCGCGCGCGCCGCCGCCTCCTCTCGCGCGGGCGCTGTACCGCCCCAGCCGTCGACACGGGCGCGGCGCTCCGGAGCCTGCAGCCGTCGTCGCGCCGCCAGGCGCCTCCAACCGTCCGCCGGCCGGCGCTAGCGCCCTCCGTCGCCAGCACGCCGTCCGCCGCCACCGATTCCCCTGCCGGCTGCCGACTACAGACCATGGCTTCGTTCTCCTCCCCGGTAAGCTCCGACAGCGACGACGCAAGGTGAGCACATGCTACAATCCCTAGTCCCTTCTCTGCTGGTGTGCGTCGCGGCGGTGTGGATCTGGATCACGCTGGCCGTGGAGGGGGTTCTCTCTTTGCAGGAGGTGGCGCTAAACCCTATATCTCACTGTGCGTTGTAGTTGCTAGAGTGAGGGATGGAGAACGGGGAGATCGAGGGGGCAGCGGACGACGGGGTGCCGGTGCCCGCGCCGCCCAACGGCAGGAGGTATCGCCCCGTCGGCTCCAGCGATCGCGCCGTCATCCAGATGACCTCCATGGAGCCCGGCTCCTCCTCCTCTACCGCTGTGGCAGCCGTCAGTGGCATCACGCCCCAGCCACCAAGGTATATGGAAGCTTCGCTTCAAATTTTGGAGATCGAATTTTAGCAATATTCTCTTCTAGGGGGAGTAGACTAAAACACTTGTACTGCTTGAATTAGTATACCATTGCTTGTGCAAATCCGATCGTGCATTGTCTTGCTCGTGCGTTATTAAGCAAAAAAAAAAAAGGATGTAGTGTTTCACCAATCAACCCTATGGTAGTTTTGGTGTTAGGAACCCATGTGAAGCACTGTGGGGCACATCTCCAACATATGTTGGCTATGGAACTATCATTTTAGCCGTTGGGCTTATGGCCTTCTGTTTTTGCTCCTCATTTCCAGATTTAGTTATCAGGACAAGGCTGGAAAGTCAAACGTGCTTTATTTACTTTGTAGCATACCTCCAACTGTATTGTTACTGCTTCTCAAATTTTGCACTGATATACTGAAATTTGATTCTACTTGGTTTCAATTAAATTTTAATGGAAGAGCCTGTTGCTGGTTGCTGTTGAGATACTCAGGACCAATCATAAGTTCATAACACTGGTTGTTGTTGCTTAGTACAATGCTTAAATTGATGCTGATGTTTTCAGTTGTAGCTAATATTGCCTCATTGGATTAGATGATATTGCCATGTGAAATGATACATCAGGCTCTTATGTAATCCCTCCATCCTAAAATACATCGTACTAGGATGTGTCGCATCCCGTCCTAGGTTTGTTTATTTTTGGACAGAGGGAATATGTAACCACATTGCTGTGATTTTTGATTCTGTATTTATATTGCTATGCTCAAATAAGTTAATAGAAGTGCTATACTACTAAAAAGTTCTTACTAACAAATATCTCAACCATTTGATTTAGTTAGTTGGAAGTTTTAAAAAGTCAAAGATTTAACCATAGCATGACAATCAGCGTTTGTAACAAGTTTGTAAAAAAAATTTAGCACGTGCATCTTTTTCCATAAGTTAAATACACGTCACAATAGTTACTTCTTGAAGAAAGATGTGTTCTGTTTTGTCATATCAATTTTAATTTGTGAGTTTCATAGCGCGGGAAGTGGTTTCTATATGGATATGGGAGTACCCTGCACATGTCATGTGCATCAATGAAATATATGTTACTTGATATATATTATCTTATTTGCCTCATGAATATGTTCATATTTTTTATTGCACATTAAGAGAGATTTTTAGGCATAACTTCTGCATAATTTCCTTTCATGTGCACCTTTTTAATTCACATCAACAATTGAGAGGAGAATTTGGAGGAAAATGCTGGCCGTCCTGCTTCAACATGTACAAGCTAACTCAATTTTTATACATGTCATAGGAATCTAACGGTGGATCCAAGCATGCAAGAAGATCACACTGTTTCACAAGGGGATTCAAAGCTTGAGCTTTTTGGTTTTGACTCTCTTGTAAATATTTTGGGCCTCAAGAGGTATGATCCATGCTCTGCCTCTGTTTGTTAAGCACCTAAGGCTGTGTTTGAGCGGCACGCAAAACTATATATGCGTTAACGCATAATTAATTAAGTATTAGCTATTTTTTAAAAAAATAGATTAATATGATTTTTAAAGCAATTTTTGTATATACTTTTTTTTTTGTAAAAAACACACCGTTTAGTAGTTTGAAATGCGTGCGCACAGAAAATGAGAGAGGTGGGTTGGGAAAGTGACAAAAGAACTCAACCTAAATGTTTTGACTAATATGAAGCATGCGCTCTACAAAGAAATTGTTAGAACTATTGATTTTTCTTTATGATATCAGCATCTGATTGAAACTGAACAGCATGACAGGAGAACAGATTCAGGCCCCTTCCAGTCCTAGGGACGGTGAGGATGTTGCAATTACGATTGGACGCCCAAAGGTTATTCTCCATTTTACCATTTTGGATGAAGCCCAGCTGTTAACTTAAGTCATAGGTTTCCATTTTGATAGTGAATAGCTACATATTTTTTGTTTTTAACTTGTGCAACAAACCAGTAACAATAATTCAATACATATGATTTACATTTTTGCATCTAGATATGGCTTCAGAATTTAAACCAATGCACTTCTACTGGTAGCGTCATCTGTTGTATTCAGAGTTTCATTATATGTCTAATTACATTTTCTTAAAAGCATAAACAAGTTGTTGATTTGCATAATTCAGCTTTTTTGAAATATCGATAGGCCCATTCCCGGTCTTTAAAATTTGTTCAGTGTTGATTCTGTTCATTGCCATCATTTTTGTTCTTTTTATTTTGTATTTGTTCATGGCATTTGAGTTTATGACGTTTGATTCCATTACTTTTGTTGGTCTGGCAGGAAACTGGACCCAAGTTTGGTACCATGATGGGTGTCTTTGTCCCATGCTTGCAGAATATATTGGGAATCATTTATTATATCCGTTTTACATGGTAAAATATTCTGGATACTTTATTTTAACTTCCCATATTTGTTTTGTTCCAAAGCCCTTATTATTTTTTATGATTTTTTTGTTCCTGTGCTTGTCAATGTTGTGTTCCCATTGTTCTTTTGACAGAAGCTTACCTGTAGCATTTCTTTCTTGTACTGTATGGCCTTTTCCCATTATAGAACCAAGTCCAAAATTAGTAAAGCAAAATTGTTAAATGTAAATATTGCTATCCAGTTTTGACATGTTAACTTATTAATGTATTGATCCCTTGATTACCTACCCTGTTATTCATATAGGTAGAAGTGGTATTTGTGCATTGTTAACCCTGTATCTTTTTTATGCCCTTATGCTGTTCAATTTTTCAACAACTGACTAATATTTTTTTTCTTCCTGTAGGATTGTAGGTATGGCAGGTGTATGGCAGTCGCTTGTTTTAGTCTCGTTCTGTGGTGCATGCACATTTTTAACTGGAATATCATTAAGTGCCATTGCAACGAATGGAGCAATGAAGGTACGCTGAATGTAAGAACTACATGTGGAATAGTTAATAGAATAAGGTTTGCTATGCCCCATGTTTTGCTTCTTAGCGCTGTCTTTGCATTTCTATTTCACTGGTCGAACCTGATACCGGGTATGCCTAAAATCCATTAGGGAGGGATAAATTAAATTTCGATTCAATGTTGGTAATACTTTTAGAGCTTGCTTTGATTTTGTTCATTGCTGCCTATAAAAACTTGACCGCGATTGTTTTGATGTTCATTTTTTATGATCCATAGGGTGGTGGGCCATACTATCTCATTGGGCGTGCGCTTGGTCCTGAAGTTGGAGTTAGCATTGGACTATGCTTCTTCCTTGGAAATGCAGTTGCTGGATCCATGTAAGTGTTTAAGCACTCAGATTTCTTTTCCAAACATCTTTAGTTTGTTAAAGAAAATGCATAGCGGGAGATGGATAAGTAATAGTTGCGTGATGCAACTGCTGTTTCTTATACTGATTGAAATTTCAAATTATAAAATTTTTCATCTTTCATTTATCCGTAATTTTGCATGCATTCGCACATGGGTCTGTGACGTCTGTCCCCTTTTCTCTCTGTGTCTAACTTATTCTGTCATTTTCAGGTATGTGCTAGGAGCTGTAGAAACCTTTTTGGATGCAGTTCCTTCTGCTGGTTTTTTTAAAGGTAGGAACAACTTACAAGTAATACTATAGTCAGTAAGTTTACTTTATGTTTGTGAGGATGGTAGAAAAAATGGAACAGTATACTTCAAGCCTTTTGTTAGGACATGAAGGGTGTCTATATTTACTTTATTATGCATTTCTGTTAGCCAAACTTAGTCAAATTTCTCTTGGAGGAAAGGAATACCAAGGTGCAAAAGCATTGACTATGTTTGGGAGAAAGTACTTTTAGGTTGGCTTTAGTGTTATCTTTGAGTATGAGTAATGCTCTTCAGAGGTGCATAGTTGGACATTCTCTTTTAGTTAGTTCAGCCTCCTATGAGTATATGACCATCATTATTCTGTCATTCACTTATTTCTGTTCTTCCTTTTTATCATGAGGAATCAAGCTAGCACGGTTAATTGCCTACATAGCAATGCAGGATCTATTTGTTTTTATACTTACGTTTTTATACATAGCAATGCCAAACATAATGAATTAATTAGTTGACTGAAGTTGAGAAAGGAAAGGACGGCTGTACTGAGCAATACGGATTATTTTCTTAACTTGTGATGCTATTTTTTTATTTTTATTTGGACTTACTCGCCAGCTCTGTTTTAAATGCAGAGAGTGTCACAGTAGTCAATAATACATTAGTAAATGGCACTGCAACAGCTAGCACAGCAACTATATCAACACCCAGCTTGCATGACCTTCAAGTATATGGTGTTATTGTAACCATACTGCTGTGCTTTATTGTGTTTGGCGGTGTCAAAATCATCAACAAGGTTGCACCTGCCTTCTTAATACCAGTCCTCTTTTCACTGTTGTGCATTTATCTTGGTGTTTTCATTGCACCAAGGCACAATGCTCCAAGTAAGTTTACCTTATTGTTTACTTTATATTGGATCACCATTATTGTACTGATCCATAAATTTATAATGTTGGTTTGCCTATCTAGAGGGAATTACTGGGTTGAGTATAACCACATTTAAGGACAACTGGGGCTCAGAATATCAACGCACAAACAATGCTGGAGTTCCTGATCCAAATGGCTCCATATATTGGGATTTCAAGTAAGTTTTTTACCTTCTCTAGAAATATAAATAACTTGTCATTTTATGGAAATTTTATGAGGAAAGTAAGCATTACCCAGTATATGAAGCACCACAAAATTTGAATAATTTTTCACTTGACCCTATGAGACGGTATGAACTATGAACTTTGAGCAATCTTGGCAATGAGTCCTGCTCGTTATTTGTTACTAATTTGGATTCGGGTAAACCTTTGGAGCCCACATATCATCGACTCATTAGTGTCCCTTCAGCTTGACTAGCCCAGCTGCTTCGTAATGCTTGTGGTTGGTATAAGGGCCCTTAGGCCTGTTTGAGGTGTCCATGGACCGCAGTGGCATGATGGCGCCATGGAGGCAGCCGCACCACAAGGGCAGAGGGAAGAGGGAGAGACTAAAGACTATTGTTTTTTTCTTGCTTAATGAATAGAGATACAATCCCATTCCTATATTGATGGGATAACTTGACTCTTAAGAAATAGTATATCTCTAAGATTAAGGAAACACTACCTCCATTCCTAAAAGAGTGTCTTTTAGCAATGAACCTGAGTTATTTCATGAGAATATGTTCTATTTCTTCCGTTATAATAAACCTGCACTGAAGTTTCAAACAAGTCCCTAAACCTTGGTGCAAATTTAGGGATCTACAGTGCACTTTACTTATTTCTTTGTTTTCTTAAATGTAAATTGCTAACTATATTGACTTTTCAGTGCTTTGGTAGGCCTCTTTTTCCCAGCAGTGACTGGAATTATGGCTGGTTCGAACCGATCGGCTTCACTGAAGGACACACAACGTTCAATACCAATTGGAACATTATCTGCAACTCTTACAACAACTGCCATGTACCTGTTCTCTGTCCTTCTATTTGGAGCCTTGGCCACAAGAGAAGAGCTTCTAACTGATAGGTACATACTTCTTAATGCTGCATATTATAAGTGCTCCTGCTTTACAATTGTAGATAATGCATCAGCTCAGGTTATATTTATCTAATTCATTTGATTGATCCCATCAAGGAAGGAAGATAATTTGGCCTTACAGATTTATGGTGCAACTATAACTGCTACTCCTATTCTACTGGCTGTTGCAGGAATTAAGGGCATGTAGTTTTTCTTTTTTGTGAATCTCAATTGTTTGGTACAGTTATAAGAGATCCTTTTCAGAGTATATGCTGCATGCTTGTCTGACCATAACTATTTACCTGCTCCTTTTTTCTTCCATTTGAAACTAACATAAACAATTGGCAGAACATGGGTTTATATTGGCAATTTAATAATTTGTACCATGGCACAACTTAGATAAGTGTTGTGAATATATTCTTTCTTTGTAAACAACTACTTCCTCTGTTTCACAATGTAAGTCATTCTAGCATTTCCCACATTCATATTGATATTAATGAATCTAGATAGATATATATGTCTAGATTCATTAACATCAATATGAATATGGGAAATGCTAGAATGACTTACATTGTGAAACGGAGGGAGTACATTTTTTACACACGACTGTAGTGTACATGTTAATTTTGTCCTAGTCCATACCGAGCTGTTATGCTACTGATTTCTTCTCTGGTCAACTCATAAATATACTTAATACTTGCAGGCTTCTTACTGCTACAGTGGCATGGCCTGCTCCAGCAGTGATTTATATTGGTATTATTTTGTCTACTTTAGGCGCAGCACTGCAGAGTTTGACAGGGGCTCCAAGATTACTGGCAGCAATAGCAAATGATGACATTCTTCCAGTTCTTAATTACTTCAAGGTTTCTGAAGGGGCTGAGCCTCACTCAGCCACTTTATTCACAGCTTTCATTTGTATCTGCTGTGTGGTTATTGGCAACTTGGATTTGATTACGCCCACCATCACAATGTTTTTCCTTCTGTGCTATGCTGGTGTGAACCTGTCATGCTTTCTCCTTGACCTCCTTGATGCTCCTAGTTGGCGTCCTCGTTGGAAATTTCACCATTGGAGTTTATCACTTGTTGGTGCATTGCTTTGTGTTGGTATGACTATATACTATTACAAATTCATTTTGACACAATGGCATGCATCATGAGCTGTAATGCTTTCTTAGGACATTATTTTGATTAAAGACTTCTGACATGCTCATGCATTTTAATACCACCCTCATCCATAATGTACTGAAGTATTGTTTAACTTGTACTTTCGCACAAATATTTTAATGCAACCTTATTTTGTCTTTATAATACTGCTTTCCACTTACTTGGATCGTTCTCTCAATTTTTCAGTGATCATGTTTTTGATATCCTGGTCTTTTACTGTTGTCTCCCTTGCCCTTGCAAGCCTCATCTATTACTATGTGAGCTTAAAAGGTAAGGCTGGAGACTGGGGAGATGGATTTAAGAGTGCATACTTTCAATTGGCACTACGAAGTCTCAGATCATTAGGAGGTATAACTCTCTTCTTGGAAACTAAATATCATATTTGAAACTATTAAGAGTTACCTTGTTTGTAACACTGAACATTCTTGTCACAGCAAACCAAGTGCATCCTAAGAATTGGTACCCCATTCCTCTGATATTCTGCCGTCCTTGGGGTAAACTTCCAGAAAATGTACCTTGTCATCCAAAGCTTGCAGATTTTGCCAACTGTATGAAGAAGAAGGGGCGTGGTATGTCAATTTTCGTCTCGATTATTGACGGTGATTATCATGAACTGGCCGAGGATGCAAAGACTGCTTGTCGTCAGCTGGACACTTACATTGAGTACAAACGCTGTGAGGGTGTTGCAGAGATTATTGTAGCGCCATCAATGTCTGAGGGCTTCCGCAGCATTGTTCAGACCATGGGTCTAGGTAACTTGAAGCCCAACATTATTGTGATGCGGTACCCTGAGATTTGGCGTCGCGAGAATCTGATACAGATACCGTCAACATTTGTTAGCATAATAAATGATTGCATTATTGCTAACAAAGCCGTTGTCATTGTGAAGGGCCTTGATGAGTGGCCTAATGAGTACCAGAGACAGTACGGCACTATTGACCTCTACTGGATTGTGAGAGATGGAGGATTGATGCTTCTTCTGTCTCAGCTCCTGCTCACAAAAGAGACCTTTGAAAGCTGCAAAATCCAAGTGTTCTGCATAGCAGAGGAGGATACTGATGCTGAGGAGCTGAAGGCTGACGTCAAAAAGTTCTTGTATGATCTTCGAATGCATGCTGAGGTCATCGTCGTGACTATGAAGTCATGGGAACCTCATATGGAGAGCAGTAGCAGTGGTGCTCCACAGGACGATTCTCAAGAGGCTTACACAAGTGCACAGCGAAGGATCAGCACATACCTCTCTGAGATGAAGGAAACTGCACAAAGAGAAGGACATCCACTAATGGAGGACGGAAAGCAAGTAGTTGTGAATGAACAGAAGATTGAGAAATTCCTCTATACAATGTTCAAGCTGAACTCGACAATACTTAGGTACTCCAGAATGGCAGCTGTGGTCCTCGTAAGCCTCCCTCCACCACCATTAAATCACCCTGCGTATTTCTACATGGAGTACATGGATCTGCTTGTAGAGAACGTCCCACGCATGTTGATAGTTAGGGGATACAGAAGAGATGTTGTCACATTCTTCACATGATTAGAGATGTATACCTTCTGGCGGCTCTACTGCCATATGATTGTTGTAACATCATCATAGCAAAGTGGGCAAGCAGATTTTGTGCAGATTTTACAGCTGAAAGTCAGAAGCCATCACCTTGAAGGCTACCTACCCTGAGATAGGAGATCTGCTGGGCCTTTCGCTGGCATATTGGGTACGTCAACTACAGTATGTCCATTCTTTTTCTCGGATTCACATAGCAAGCTTCAATACAGTTAATTGTCACAAATTTTGTAGCCCTGGTGTTCCCCATACGTGTAACAATCTTAGAAACGCAACGCTTCCTTTTGCACTGAAACAGTAGCAATGGTATCACATTTTTTAAAATATATTTCCAGTTGATGTAATGAGCAAACTGAGGTGGCCATTAATGTTGGCATGTTGTTGATTGGCATGACGTTTATACTGATACACGTGAAAATCAGCTGAAATTATTGGTAACACTGTACAGGACTTTCCTTGATTCACTACTGCATTATTGCACTCTATGTAGTCATCAAAATTTGGTAGTATGTTGGAGTTGTCCAGGGACAATAAAATCAGCTGATGATCACCAGGGTACTTGTGATATATATTTTCTCACTTTATTAGTGTTTTTGTCTTGTAAAATCTGGGGGTCACATAACTTGTAAAATTTCACGAAGGCATTAGTGACAAATTAGTGACACTGTCATAGCATTTTTCTTGCACCGTTGCATAACATTTTCCTCAGGATGTTAATCTTAAGCTCTATAACTACAAGTTCATCTTCTTATCGTACCGTTGCATATTACGGTATAACAGCACAGGAGGAGCTCCTGTTTCTTTCAAACAGAATTTGTTGATTTCGGCAAGTCAAACTTTGGTTTGGCAAGTCTGCGGGTATGATCAGCATCTGGTCGTTGCGTAGACCCTTCCATGGATCTTGAACTTTGCATTCGTTTTATGCTCCAGCTCATCGTCTTTTGTGCCTAAGACGAAATATTTAAGAATTAAGAAGCTGCTTCCATAGATGTTTGGTAACGAAAAAGATTACTACTGTATTTTGCTCTGTGACGACTATTGCTTATAAATGAGTACGTAATTAGCACAAGGAAAATAAAAGAAAAAGGAGAGAATTGTTAATGAAAAAGAAATGGCACGCGTTCCACGTGCATGGCGCTTGGCCTCATCATCAAATTTACACGAGATGTCGTCAGTTAAGAGTACTTTTCATTTTAATTTGGAGGTAAAATTTGCTACAGGACACTAAAAAACGTGTAATTAGCTGTAGGACACCGCAAAAACTGTAATTAGCTGTAGGACACCGCAAAGACATGATTTAGCTCTAGGACACTCTAAAAACACGTAATATGCCTAAGGGCACTGAAGCTATTATTTTATTCTTTTCAAACAAAAAAGAGAGATAAAACCAGATTGTCCTTCGGCTCTCTCGGCTTGGCTCCAGGCGTGTGCAATGAGACCACGCGCGGCTTACTCTGTTTGGCTCCTCATCGGCTCGATCCCCTCTACTCATCTGTCGCCGTGCCACCGCTCTTATCTGCTCATATATGTCTGACCAGCAGCGGATGTCTCCATGACGATGACCTCGCATCAGGTGATTCCCCAATGGCCACCAACGAGTGACCTTCCATGCGGCTGCTACTCCTGAAGGGAGCAAAATGGGGTCATGGAGATGGGTGCAACAGTGAACCAAATGTTGCCCAGCGCACGAGCGCGCCGCTGCAACCTGTGATTCCAACACGATATCCTTCCAGATTGCAAAACCGCGAGGCAACGTGCGGGCTCGAGTGCAGGGGAAGGGCTCGAGTGCGAGTGAGGAGGAAGATGGGGGCACTGTCGTGCGCTTCACGACGCCGGCACGCGTAGGCACGGTGGGCGCCGCCGCGCCCTGAGTTTGGCTATAATTGGCTTGGAGGAGAGGCACTGCGAGTCCGCCCTGCGTCAACGGCACAAAGGCATGCTGTAAAAGTAGGAAACGGTGTATGCGGAGGCCGAGGGTGGTCGCCAAAGCGGAGGCAATGACTGGAAGACGAAGGGGGCGAACGGTGAGACTGGCGACAAGTGGCGGGGAGGGAGGACAGGGTGGATAAACTCGGTAGGCTCCTCGGAATGGCCATTGCGGGGCTTACGCGTCACATCGCGGAGGGTGGCGGCGTGGGAGACGGTGGTGTGTGAGAGCGGTCTCGCCGTGGTGGAGTGTCTCCGCCGATTGACACGGGGTACTCGTACTTTCTACGCCGTTTCTTTCTCAATTACACCGGATATAATAAAATAATGTCTTCGATGTACGGTAGCTAATTACCAGGTTTTTACGGTGTCCTATAGCCAATTCATATCTTTACGGTGTCTCACAGCTAACTATATATTTTTTGAGTGTCCTGTAGCAAATTTTGCCTAATTTGGATATGGTGGCATCGCAATCGCACTTATGTGCCTACCTGCACTGCACAGCACACATATTGTGATCTGACTGGCAGGTACCACACTCTAAAAGCAAGCATTTGTTCGGATACTGTATCACAGAATTTATAGAATCCGAGAAAAAAATGTTTAAGCAGTCACGAATCTTATCGAATTTTTTAATATACATGGTGGCATGCTCCCCTGCTACTATTACTAATATATTTTCGAAAATTCTCTAAATTCGGCGCCTGATGCGGGCGCGCATGCATCGGGCGCCTCGCGCCGCCGCTGCCTAGGCCCCGCGAATGCATGGGCGCCTCGTGCCACCGCCGCCCATGCCCCACCACGTGTCCCCACTATGCGCGCCCGTTGCAATAGTCTACCGGATATAATGGAAACACCCTGTTAAGGTGGATCCGCTTTATTTTTTTCCATCAACAATGTTTCAGCTAGTTGTACTCGTGATCTTTCACTATGTATAGATCAAATGTTTCAGTGGATTTTTGATACTGTTCAATAATTTCATCTTGATGGACACGTGGTTTGTTGATATTCATGGGGTTTAAGTGTTGTAATGGGTTTAAATCGTTTGTTGCATACGTTGAACTAAATTGTTTCATCTAACGATCTGACCGTGTGTCACTTTTTTTAAGAATTGAAACATTCTTTCGCTATTTGCTGAAACATTGTTTTTATATAGGGTGAAACAACGTCTGATTTTTTGGAAACCGTTGTTTCATATATTGTAGCAAAATGTTTCATGAGGTAATTTGGTTGTGTTTTAGTTTTCTAAAAGATTGAAACATTTTCGAACTACTTTGTGAAACATTTTCGATCTACTTGGTGAAACAACGTCCGATTTGTAGCCACCTCGATATATTTTTTTGGGTTGTTTGGTTCAAGGTTATAGTTTATCCCGTTAGATGCGTCACACTTTCGCATTTTATTAGGTTAGTATTTGGTTCGTTACTATAAGTATAACAAGCCACACTTTACTAACTCCTTGCTCCACATGTCATAGGTTCTGCTTGGAAGAGTTTATGACATTAGCTTTTGCTAGAATCTTTCATTTATCAGAAAAGTTCTCTCAATCAGTCTAAAAATTTATAGTTATCTATACTATTATAAAAATTAAAAATGTTTTTGCCGGTACTTTTGGTTTGTCATCCGTGTATGAGTTGGTTTTTATGTTCGTTCGCTTTTGGAAACATAAATCCGTATTTGAGTTGGTTTTTAAGTTTGTTCGCTTTTGAAAATATAGAAAGAATCGTATAAGAAATCTTTTTTAAAAACTTGCATGCTAATTTAAGATGATCGGACTCCTATTTGCAGCACATGATTTTCTAGCAAAATATATATCCAAGCAAATTTAACACAGTGAATTTCACCGTAACTAAACCATATCTCTATCTCTACTATTATAAAAATTAAAGATGTTTTTACCGGTATTTTGGTACGTCATCCGTGTTTAAGTCGGTTTTTAAGTCTGTTCGCTTTTAGAAATATAAATCCGTATTTCAGTCAGATTTTAAGTTCGTTTGCTTTTGGAAATACAAAAGGAGTCGTAGGGGTGAAGACAGAGCGGATTCGGACGGATAGTGGTCATACCATATCCTAAACCATATTTTCTAAGCGGATTCGGAGCAGGTGCGGATAGTGTACGGATGCGGATGCGGAGCGGATTGTTTTCGGATGTCGGAAATGGTGCGGAGTCGGTGTGGAATTGGTTCGGAAACGGATTAAATTTATCGGATGCTACATGTATATGCAATCAATACAACATTGAGTTAACAATCCAAGGAACAATAGTACAATAATCAATAAATGACTCATCGTAATAATTATATGATTAAGTGCTAAACAACATGAATACATGATGCCCATAATATAAAAATATAGCTACTTGAGTGTGACATGAGACGATAAAAGCCTTTGACTAAAATATCTATGTTAATTGATGAATTAGGACATTGGATGTACCAATTTATGTTATATGCAATAGATAGAGTGGTCACATATGTTGATATTTTCGGATTATCCGGCAAATGGCCTATCGGATAATCCGAAAAAAATGTTGGATAATCCGCATCCGTTGGATATTAGAGATACCATATCCGCATCCGCATCCGTATCCGCCGGATTTCTAAAAGCCTATACCATATCCTCGTTTCGGATGGATTCGGAGCGGATCGGATCTCGGATATTATCCGATCCGTTTTCACCCCTAAGGAGTCGTATAAGAAATCTCTTTAAAAAAAAACTTGCATGCTAACTTGAGATAAAAGTCAGACTCCTAACTGCATCTCATGATTTTCTAAAATAGAATATCCAAGCAAATTTCCACGGTGAATTTCACCCTAGCTAAACCATATAACAATTACAAGATTAAAATAATCTTCACCCGTTGCAACGCACGAATATTTTTTCTAGTAAAATCTAAAAAATAAAGAAGCCAGAAGATTCTCATAAGCTATTTTTCATAATTTTAAAGCTTCCCAGACAGGGTCACTGGATAATTTTGTAGCTAAATATTGCTATACGGCCAACAATTTATTGGCTATACGTACTTATGTACTTACGTGTGATTTGTCATACTTTTAGCAAGTTAGGTTCTGGTAAAAAAGTTAGCTTCCAACCAAACAAATCCTCTATATTTTCTTTTATTACATAAAAGATGCATACAAACATACGCTACCACCACTATACATGTCTACCATACTTACACATCTACGGATACATCTTTCTACACACACTCAAAGAGACAAACTAGTGGCAAATCCTAAGATCCTATTAAACGTAACTTTGTGAAAGGAATCAGACTTTACCACCATACAACTGGTGTTTTCCCAACAACACTTCGTTCTATATCTACATCTACTTCCTCTGTCCCATAATATAGCAACCTAGAACTGGATGTGACATTTTATAATACAACGAATCTAAACATGGGACGGAGGGAGTACAAGATATTGGCTCTTTATTTCTCTTTCTCTTGTACTATGTAGATATAGAAAATTTATTGGGAAAGTACCGATAGTGTGGACTGTGGAGTAGGGGTGCATGCATTACTCCAGTCACCAGGTTCAAATCTTTTATCCTTTTTATTTTTAATAAAAAAATCTGCTTGTTGATCCAGAAACTCATTTTACATATGCATGATAACGCCTTAACCAATACATATATGCGCAATTTAAATAAGAGTACGTTTTATTGAAACATACAGATTTCATACGAATTAATTCAATCCACCCAATTTTTCTCACATCCGATCCAATCTGTTCTTGCGCTAATCTCTTCCTCACGCCATGCACCACAAACCCTCTAGTCGAATCTTCATACTTGGGAGGGGTCTCCACTCCTGCTGTTGGAGAAATCGCTCCATCGACAACTCCGTATCTGGAGAGGGAGGACTTAAATAATCTTGAGGGTTATCACCACCTCTACATCTACATCTAACGAACTGTGGGATATGCACCAAATACTGGTATTTAATAATATAGACAATTAGACACCACGTCTACACTATTTAGATACTATTCTAATGTCGATCAAAAATTAAAGTAAACACTAATGCACAATATTTTAGTATGCTAATGGGAATTAAGAGATAAACCTCACAAAATAAATCTCAATTACTCAGTAAAGATAATATCAACTAAAGCAGAGTGATTGACAAGGTACATGTAATGCCTTAGAAAAAAAATAGAATACCATAAAAGATATATTAGAAGTCCCTAAGTATTTGGTGTTTAAAATTAGAAGAAAAACAACAGATATACGGTAGCTGGGCTGCTTTTGGCTAGCCCAAGGCCCAACTGCCCCTCCACATCCCCAAAACCCTAGGAGGTCCCTCCACCTCCCCCTAGCCATCATTTGCACCATCTCCCTCCCCTCTGGCGCCACCCCCTCCCCTTCTCCCTGGTTTGTGCTCCCCTTGTTGCTGTTGTGGCAAGGAAGGAGAAGAAGAGAAAGGGAAAGAAGGAAGGGATGGGAAGAAAGGTGAAGAAAGAAGATGCGTTTTTATGTTGCCGCTACTTGTCGAGACCTAGGTGAAGACACTTCGGAATGCAACTAGAGTTCATCTCATCATTGGTGAAGGCAAGTAAACATAGTGGTGGAGCGAGCGGCAGGGGTCGCGGCGGTGGAGCAGCAGCGAGGAGCGGAGAGCAATGGGAACAGCGACGCGAGCAACAGCGGGAGCGACAGGGATGACGTAGAGTGAGTAGCAGCGGGTGACAGTAGCGAGCAACGGCAGAGCGAGCAGTAGTGAGGGCGGCGACGGAGCAAGCTGCGGCGCGCGGCGGCGGAGCAAGTAGCAGCAGGCGGCAACAACAAGCAGTGAGGGGGGTGGCAACGCGTGGTGACGATCACGTCGACTACAGATCTAACGGTGGTGCAAGCAAATCCTGCGGCGATAGTGAATCCTTGGAGATGGTGGGTCAGAAGTGCATCGATGCAGCGCGAGCGAATCTAGCAGCAGTGGTGAGCTCATCGTGGCGCGCGGCGAGGTCTTGGAGATGGCCGATCCGACAACGGCGGCAAGCTCGTTGTTGCGGCTATGAAGTCTTTGGGATGGCGGTGAGCTCTTTCACCATTTCCCTCCTTTTTAGTCTCTACAATTTAGCAAATTCAGTTTTATACTTGAAATGTTATGGATACGATTTGATCTTATCAGAGCAGTGAGTTGTAGAAGACGAGGCATATAAAAATATGGTAGATAAAAAACGACTTAAAATGTGTCCCAAATGTATGACATGGCATGGATCAAATGTAAAAAGAGTTGCAATGGTATCGTTACAATTAGATGAATTGCAATGGTATTTTTTAAAACATGCAAAGTTATAATGGCACATATCCAATTAATCCTATTAAAATTTATGATGTAATTATAATTAAAGTTTTAAAATTTATAGTAATTACAGTGTAAATATAGGCAATTGTAGTGTAAAAAAAATTTGACTATTTTTTTAAAAAATAATATCACGCTATAAAAATCACCATTTCGAAGTAGGATAATAATATAATTGCTCCTAAAATATATGGGCATCTTATTTTTTTCTGGTGTTAGGGAGACTAAAGAACGGCAAACACATAATCAAAAGCTAAAAGTTTGACTATAATCTGATGAAAAAATTATCGCCATGTTAGTGATTTTTTTAAACTGAATCTCCTGTTTGGACCGTAATAAAAAGATAAAAAGCTTATTTTTATTTTCAAACTAAACTCCGTAACTTCAGTTCATTCTCCGCAAGAACAGCAGAAAAGAAAAAGGAGAAACCCACAAAAACTACCCTTCCTCTTATCCCCTCCGGTCCAGTCCCTCCACCTCCAAATCCAATCCTCCCTAAAACCCCAGCACCGCCCTATCCTTCCTTCCTTCCTTCCTTCGTCCGACCAAAACGCGCTCGCCTCGCGTCATCGGATCAAATGGTGGAGGCGGCCACGCGCGGAGCAGAGAGCCCTTCCTCCTCCTCCTCCTCCTGCTAATGCGCCGCCATGGCCGCCCGCGCGCTGGGTCCACCTCCTCCTCACGCCCTCGGCGCCACGCGGCAGGCTCCTCGCTGCCCCCACGCTGCCGCCGCGGACGCCTCTGCGCCCCCGACGCATGGATACCGGCGTGGCGCCGCGGCGCTCGGCTCCGCGCTCTCCGCCCGCCGGGGAAGGTCTGGCCCTCGCCTTTTTTTTCCCTCTCCTTGCTGCGTGGTATCATTCTGGTACACCCTACCCTTATATTTTTGCTCAATTGCTCGCTTGCAGTTTATGGCGGGTTCGGGTTCTTGAAATTTCTTATCCCAGATTGCGTATAGTTGTCCTGAAATAATGTCCTGCGAATTCCACTTGTATTTCTGCTGGTATCCTTCACTCGCATCAGCATAGCTAGAATGCTAATTAATTAACCCAGATTGCCTATAACTGTCCTGAAATAACGCCCTGCAAATTCCACTTGTATTCCTGCTGGCATCCTTCACTTGAATCGGAGCTAGAATGCTAATTACTTATTTTTGGCTGTTTTGGTTGAGGGAGGTTTGCATTTTTCGTGGATATTGATTTTCTGGTTAATGTTCGATCATATTTCTGCAGGCATACTTTGTGTTCAGTACAATTGATGGATGCTCTTAGAGGTGGCAATCTTCAAGTGGAACCAAACATACTTCATTCCCCCAAGCCATTGATGTCTACTAGACGTGGTAATTTCTTTAGTTTAGTTGTCCATATACACTTGAAATGTATTTGGGATTTTTTATTTTATGAATATATAATGAGTGTGCGGTTCCTGCATAGAACATCAGTTGCATTTCCCAGGAAATTTTTTAATCATACATTTCAGCAATTTTAACAAATAAAGTTGTACGTCTTGTTTAGTTGCCTAGATAATTGGAATGAATATCATCTTTTACACAAGCAAAAAATTCATGACTGACGCAGCTGTTTATATTAGAAAAATAGAGGTGACCTCTCTCATTTAGGCTCTATCCTGATAGCTGCAATTGAGAGTATGAAAATGTATTCCGCCAATTCATTATGTATTCATTCATCTGTAACATGAAATGTAAAACACTAAACAGCAATACAAGGAAATATTTGGAAGAAACATGTCTTTTGCCTTCAGATTGGAGGGGATTTCTTGTGTTGTCTCACATGCACCACTAAAACATTAATTATTGTTACTGAGGGATATTTCATCAACATGTATGTTACTGCATTCATCTTTTCATTTGCTATTCATTTTTCTTGTTAAACTACAGGCGTAAAACCTAGTGAAATGTACATCTTTGTTTCTCAAAAGTGTACCTTTTCTAATTGCTAAAGGGCCTGTTTCGATGGGTTGAACCCAAATCCTTAAAATCTAAACTAAGTCCTGAATGGTTGGCAATTCTACCAAGGGCCTTGCTTAGGCAAACCTATTTTTAAAAGTTAACGAATCTTAAAGAAAACAGGTTATTTTTAGGTTGACCAACCTATATTAACATAAAAGTGTCACATCAAAGATTATGTATGGATATAGATCTTTTAATTTTGAAGTTCATGCAGATTTGCTCACCCGAACATAGACTATTTCCTTTGAAAGAAGTGAATCAAAGCACATTCCTTCCCCTATATTTGTGCAAGTCTTATTTGCTAAAATCATGCACTCTTTCCGAGACTAATACATAGTTTTGACATGTTCAAGTTATATTACACACACAAGGATCATAGAAGTTCAGCTCAGGTGTTTAGTAAAATCGGCCACTTTGTTCAGCTTCGTAGAAGTTGGAAGAAGTGTACTGAAGAGCATCCTTTCCCCTACATGTGCAAAGTTTGTTTTAGTAAACCATGCTGTCCATGCAACTAAGAGTTTATCATTTAGATATATAGTTCATGCAACCAAAGTTTTGTTCACTGCTAGTATACACTTTTGACCTCTCAAATTTATATTATAATATGAAATTGAACAAGGTATGCAACTAAAATTTTACCATATAGACATATAGTTCGTGTTTTGAAGTTTATGTCATTTCCCAGTTGGTTTCTTACAGATGACTCAGCCATAACCTGTAAAGGATTCTGTACAATATCGTGGAACCTCAAATCAGATGTGCTGGATGGTTACATAATCTTCGTCACTGGAGATCCAGTTACCTTGGGCTGTTGGGAATCAGATATGGCTGTTCAGTTGTCTCCTTCTGTTGAAAGTAACAACTTATGGACGGCCGAAATAAAGGTAATTCCTCTTCCAACATAAATCACTTTGTCAAAAAACTGAAATGAGATGGCACAACCCATGGACATGTTCCTAAATTTTCAATATTATCTATGCAATTTTGTAGTTCGCGCATCTTATGTTAGTGCGATTAAGAAGTAGGAAGCAACTGGACCTATCATTCATGTACATTTCTGCTACTGAAACATTCTTTTAAGAGTCTTATTTCTAGACAAACAATTTCATTTTATGATTATTCAATACTTATATGCTCTTGTATGATGGGATGATTTTTAGTTTCTCCATTATGATTATTTGATGTGATGTCTAGAGTTAAAATCATATGATGGTGTTTCATGTTTCCATGATTCCAATGGAAACAAATACAATTGTCATATTTCTCAGTGTGTTGCAACAACAGTACAACTTCAACAACCTGGCTGTTCACTTTGAGTTTCCTACACAGCCAAATACATGTTATTGTCTTCCTTTCCATTCTTCAATGGTGTTGGGCTGTGGGCATATATAATTATCTTCAGTGACTAGATATTGTTAAACCTACATTATTCTAGCACGTTGTATTCTTCTGTATCTAAGGTGCTCTCCGTTCAACAAATGCTCATATATATTTGTCTGCGCTTAGTTTCCTTTGGTCCTTTACTCCTTTTACATCTGACCAGCAGTTCTTTTTTCCTGATCTATCTTTTTTTATTCTTTCTCACAATTTCTCTCGTACAGAAAATTTAGATACAATTTCCAATATGAAATCTGCTTTCCCTTTTATGCACCTTTTTTTAGTTTTGTTTAGTACAAACTTTTAATTTGATATAAGGATGCTTCTTATTTCCAGTTACAGCAAGAAACATGTTATATGCAATCAAATATAAACTTTTTTCTATTTTATGTACCATCATGTTAACATATTTCACTTACTGTTTGTAGGGAAAGATTTATTGAATGAGGGAATGTTGTGTGCCAATTTTCTGATTGTGATGAACATCATTCCAAACTTATCTTTGAAACCAGCCTTATCTTAACTGTTTCAGGTACCATATGGTGTGCATTTCAAGTATAACTATTTTGTTCGAGAGGAGAATGACGCCTCTTCTGATATCATATGGAGGCCAGGTCCTGAGTACTCCTTGTCAATACCCCCAGTTGGCCGGAAAAAACATGTCATTGTTGTGAAAGATCTGTGGATGAAAACTAGTGTGGCAGGCATTCCCACTCCTTCCTGGGGATCATGGCTGATGGAAGCTAATTTTCTTGAAGACCAATTTGCTAAGAGTGGAGAGCATCAAAACATTGTGAAAGCCCATTCTGTCATTGATACGGTGGATCGAGCCTCATCAGTAGGTAATGTTGCGCTATCTTGCATTCACTTTTATAGAAATAGTACATGTTTCCTTAGTGTTGCTGAACACTTAAATGTTTCCAGTTGATTGGCAGGTGAACATATTATTCTGAGGCTTGGGAACGGCACACCTTTACATGTCAAGAATATATCAGAGAATCCATCTGCCAGTGTCCATGATGATTTTACTGTAACCGATAAAGCAAATTCAATTAAATCAAGTATAAGTGAACATGAAAGGAATCAGCCTGTTGAGGAACCATGGATCCTTGGATCTGTCATGGCAGCAAAGAAATCTGTTGCAGCAGGGAAGCACGAGAAAAACAGATGGAAGTTTGTCAATAAGAAACAGAACTTGAGTGAAGTAAGTGAAAACATACCTGAACAGGATCAACCTGTAGAGGAGCCATGGCTATTTCAATCCAAGGTGGTAGCAAAAAAACCTGTAGTTCAAACTAAAGGCAAAATAGAAGCAAAGGATATTATCAGAAAGCTAAGGAAAATGGATAAACCTCCAGCGCCTTTGGAGGAGGATAAGGCAACTAGTGGAGAGCCTTCATCAAGAGTCATAGTAATTAATTCATCAGTCTGCACCATGCAGAGGATTGCAGTATTGGAAGATGGAAAACTGGTTGAACTCTTGCTGGAGCCCATCAAGAACAATGTACAGTGTGATAGTATTTATTTAGGCATTGTAACAAAACTTGTGCCTCATATGGGAGGTGCATTTGTGGATATTGGACTTTCGAGGCCTTCACTCATGAGCATAAAGCAAAACCGTGATCCATTTGTGTATCCTCAAATTGTCAAGAATGCTAAAAGAGATTCTGCGAATTTTTCTGATTATAATGATGATAGCCTTCCAACATATGAAGACGAAGATGATGATATGACTGATGGGGAGTTGGCAGATGAAGAAAATGATGATGAGTCATCAGCATTTCCAGCTGAGGTAGTTTCTGAAAATGAAGAACACATGGCCTTTTTGCCCAATTCTAAGATAAATATGATTCATAGTGCTGAATTTGAAAGTATCTCTAGTTATGATGAAGAAAAAGATGATGAAATTGATGATCACATGGAAGATGAATATAATGAGGATCTTTTGCCTGGTGATCAGTCAGAAGTATCCAATGATCTTAAGACATTATCTTCCATTCAACATGCTTTGAGAGAGTCTAGTGATGATACAAATGGAAGTAGGTGGTCTCAAGTTCGCAAGGGTACAAAAATTATGGTTCAAGTTGTCAAGGAGGGATTGGGTTCGAAAGGTCCAACGCTGAGTCCCTTTCCATGCTTAAGAAGCCGGTTTTGGGTATGTGAGATAAATATGACTAGCTATCTCTCATGCTATTCTAGCATTACAATTTTTTATGCTTTATGATCTTTTGTTTACCTTTGGTAATTTATAAATTAACTGCATTGGAACAGAAATACTTTTGATCAGAAATCTTATGTGTTGTTACTCAATAGTCTACCTTGTTTGTTCTTTAGTTCTAATATTTTCTTATTACGATGCGGAAGGGACATTTAATAACCCAGAGTGATGTCAAATATGAGTAGTTGTGATGTTCTTAGGACATTTAATGATATCACTATATAGAGGAATAGAGACATACAAGCACTTCAGTTTATGCACCATGTAAATCTTTTGGTGATAAATGATGCTGTCTGCAGAGAATGTATGCTTATATATATGTACTTCAGTCACCTATCTATTCAATGTCATTATTTGCTAATGATTCATAACTTTCTGCAAAAAATTACCATGAAAAAAGAGGTTTGTAGCATTCTGCATTGATGGTCAAGTAAAAAAAGGATGTTCATGTTAACTTTGTAAGTTGTAACTTACCCTTCCATTTCAAATTTGCAGATACTGGTTTCCCGCGGTAACAAAGTTGGAGTATCGAAAAAAATTACTGGGATAGAGCGCACCCGATTAAAAGGCATTACCAAATTATTACGACCTCCTGGATTTACTCTGACAGCTCGTACTGTTGCTGCTGGCCATTCTTGGGAGGAGTTGCAGAAGGATCTTGATCGCTTATTATCTACCTGGAAAGGAATAATTGAGCATGCTCAATCTGCTGCCTTAGCAGCTGAGGAGGGTGTAGAAGGTGCTGTTCCCGTAATGTTGCATAGGTCAAAGGGTCAGGCTCTATCTGTTGTTCAAGATGATTTCAATGAGAAGGTGATACTATTTGAAGATAGCAAAATCAATAGCATACTTTTCTTTGCTTGATTTGTTTTCAAATGCTTTACTGTATTCTTGAATTACTGCCATTCTTCACTTAGGTCAAGAGGCTAGTTGTGGATTCTCCTCGCACCTACCATGAGGTGAGAAACCTTAAATCTAATCCAATTTTAGTCTAAGCTTTGTATCCATTTCCTGTGATTCATTTTCCCTTCCCATGATTCTATGCTGTGTGTTCTATGGACCAAAGGCCAATCTCTATATGTCAGTTAGTCCTGCTGTTCAAAGCAGTTAGCCACTTGGAAACCTGTCTCCAAAATGACTAATATTTTTTCAGGCGTGTATGTTGATTGATTAAGTAATGATAGTTGCGCATGCTTGTTTGCACACTAGTTTTTCCTTATGTCTATAGAACGTTCCTGGCCTACCTACTGTCTACTGTTGTATGCTATTGGACTTTCTGGTTAGGAATTACATTTTTCAGGCTTATAACTCTTTTTTTTTTGCTTATGCATATTTAGGTCACAAACTATCTCCAAGAAGTTGCACCTGAGCTCTGCAATCGAGTTGATCTTTACGAAAAAAGAACTCCTATATTTGATGAATATAAAATAGAAAAGGAGATTGACAATATTCTGTGCAAAAGGTATACTTTTTTTGTTGCATTTGTTTCTTAAATAGCTTCATTGCTACATATTCTTTTGCTTGCTTTGTAATGTTTATCAACCATTTAGCATAGAACAAAAACACATCTTGTAATATAGATTACTTTGATAAGTAATTTTGGTTTACCTGGACCTGGTTTTTTCCTAGACTACAAATTGCATATCACCATTTGACAAGCAAGGGAGCTGTCAGAAATAAGACTGCTCTACTGATAACGAGTGCCATGTTCAACATGAGCTTGTGGCTGGCAGTTGCGCTAATGGTGATTAGGCTTAGCCTAGACCTGTTCATGGTAGCCTGACCTGGTAAAATTGAGCAAGCCTGGCATGATGTGTCAGACGTGGGCCTAGATTTATAGCCCGATGAAAAAAAAAGCTTATGAACGACACACTATTAACTTACATTTCTGTTAAAGGTATAAATGATACAATTTCTGTAGTATGATATGTTAGTGCTCTTTTATTGCAGGGTTCCACTACATAATGGCGGTTCTTTAGTTATAGAGCAGACCGAAGCTCTGGTTTCAATTGATGTAAATGGTGGTCATAGTATGTTTGGTCAGGGGACGTCCCAGGAGAAGGCTATACTAGAAGTAAACCTAGAAGCTGCAAAACAAGTATGTCCCATGTTCTGTTTCGTACTGGAAAGTAGTATATTTGCTTTCAAACCTTATTTTTCTTTACTTATCTAGAATCCAATCCACCTTTTATTTTGACGTTTTACTGTATGTCTTACTCATTTACCTTTCAGCTGACTATGCTTTAATTCCTAAGAGATGCACTTGGCAGTACTTCTATTTGTCTTTCACCAAAAGTCTACCAGAAAAAAAAAGAAAAAAAAAACATGTATAGTATCTAGAACGACAAGCTGCTATGTGGGGCCATCAGTTCACGCACAGATTCTGAAGCTGCGTAGCAGCTTTCTAGGTGTAAGCAGTTAGTGAGATAGCTCCTTAACATCTGATACAACAATTTATGATTAAGTTCTTTTCACTTGAACATTTGATTTGTTAGGCTAAAGTTATAGCCGTCCTTTCATATGGGCTTCAGCATATCCATTATGGATTAAGAAAGGAATAGACGCTAGTTATCTCATCTCCTGTTCTATATTCCTCACCCCTGTTCACAGTATGATCCATAATCCCATAGTTTGTGGCAGGAAGCCAGCAGAATCCAATTCCTACTGACCGCAATCCCTTCCCTGGAGATGTAAAGCCAGAGCCATTCTGATCTTTATTTTTGGGTCCCTGCTGTCTACTAACGTCACTCAGTTAGCTATAGATCAGTCTTCTACTAGCCTATATTAATCCCGGGAAATCACATGCTCATAAACACATTTACATTCATGATACTAGTTCATTTTCTCGTTCATGATTATATATTGGTTATTAAATTGCTAGGCAAAATACTCTATTGAGTGAGCTACTCACACATGTAGCTATTTGCTAATATTATATTGATGATGCATGTTGGTTACCAAATCGCTAGGCAAAATGCCCAAATGAGTGAGCTACTCAGACATGTCGGATGAGCTATGGTAATAATGTAAAAGAATCCTGCTGTCACTCAATAGGCACCTTGAGAAAGATGGTAAAATATCTGGTGGTACATCGTGGTTCATCCTCTTTAAATTATGTTGAAATGGTTCTGAAATGTTTGAAGCATTGACAGAAAATTGATTTGTCATGAAACAAAATTCAAACAAAAATTTGTTTTGCATAACGAAAAAAAAGGATGCTTCTCCGTCTACGGAACAAGATTATAATCAATTTTTTGTGGAATGATAGATCAATGTTGGTGTCAGTCATTACTTTCTTCAATTTTTTGGGCGTTGTACTGTTACACGTGGTACTCTAGCAGTATCTTAGGGAAAGTCTTCAGACCCTTACCCCATCCATGACTCACAAACAAGCAGGATGAAATAACAGGATTTTGATAGAGCCATAGGCTAACAGTGACTCATTCATAGATGACATCGAATTCGAGTGGGGAAATGCATTTATTAGAATTTCAAACTTGAATATGATGCAAAATTTCTTGAATGCAGATTGCTCGTGAATTGCGCTTGAGGGATATCGGCGGCATTATTGTTGTGGATTTTATTGATATGACCGATGATAGTAAGATATCAACTTGTAGAATTAATTATAGTGTGAAATGGTTTTCCTCATACCTGCATTTCATCATGCCGTATGCTCCATTATGCTTGCAGCTAGCTTGTTTGTTTTTCTAAAAAACTTGTTGATTTTTTATTCTCATAGGAATTTATATCGTACATGGGTATCTTTTCTGCTGCCTGGTGTTTAATTAAGTATTTGCTAAAATTTGTCATTTGAATACAACTTTTTAACTTGTGCCTTGGCATATTGTCATGCACCTAACATGTGGTGATGTTTATTGACCTGAAATCTCACTTTATTATGTAACCCTTGTACTGGACTCTACATTCTGTACTCAAACATACATCATACCTTTGTAAGATTCAGCCAGCATATCACAACTTAAGATACAATTATAATATCTTCACAATAGGAATATTTTGTTTCTTATCTGGATATTCTTTCCATGATTTGGGAATATTTTGTTTTGAATTTATGTGCCATCAAATTAAGCTTATATATTGAGTCTTCTTGGATTTGATTGAAAATTTCTTGAGTTTTTAATTTCCTACTGTTATTAATTCATACTGCGACAGGTACCACTACCACAGTGGCATTTCCACCAGTTGTGCGTCCTTCATACTCTGTTATACTCCTAGATGATACTAATGATTGTTTGTTGTTTCATTGTGATTTTAGATTCTGACTGAGCTATGTCTGATCATGATGTTTTCCTTGTGGCGTTGTATTTGTATTCCACATTGTTGTTTTCCTTTTCCCCCTCTCTCTCCCTTCTTTTCATTCTTGGTCTAATGTAGCATTTTGCTCCAGCAAACAAAAAACTAGTTTTTGAAGAAATGAAGAAAGCAGTAGAAAAGGACCGATCAACAGTTGGTGTTTCAGAATTGTCAAAGCTGGGTTTGATGGAGATAACTAGAAAAAGGGTATGTGGGCACTTCTTCAGATGTGTGTAGTTGTCCACTATGGAGAATTCAACTTTACGAGAATATAGATACCCATCAATTAATTGATATTTTAACTGTCTATAATCTTGACTGAAATTTGTAGGTTCGACCAAGTGTTACGTTCATGATCAGTGAGCCGTGTCCTTGTTGCCATGGTATTGGCCGTGTGGAAGCTCTTGATACTTCTTTTTCGAAGATAGAGCGTGAAATCTGTCGACGCCTTGTAAGTCCTACAAACTTACCACTTACCAATCTCTCAATTATTTTTTAGTTGACATCCTCAAATCCTTGCTATTGAACTTTCTGAGATTTGACCGTATAGTTCTAGATTTTGGTTCAATACTTTCATCATATAAAATCTTTGGTAGTATATATTAATTTAACACTCGAACACTAATTGTCAATAACAACATAGAGGAGGGATGTAGTACTGTTTAAAGGAATGCACTGACCAGTATGCAGCTGATAATCTAGACAAAATTCAAGCAGCAGTAACAATCTGTTAAACTGAAACAGCTTGCTTGTATTCTTTCATGCTGATATTGGTTCCGAATATGACTTTGTTGATATTGGTATGAAGTCTTTTATTCCAAATGTTACTATATCTCCATGTAGACAACCAGAAGCTAGAACTCCATGCTATAAATAGTATAATCAGTGTTTAACTTATTTGTTATTAAAAACAAAATGTTCCTCTTAACCTTGTCTAATGGATCAGGCTGCCTCTGGACATAAATCAGACCCTGAGAAACCAAAATCATGGCCCAGATTTGTTCTTAGGGTTGACCATGAGATGTGCACGTACTTGACATCAGGCAAGAAAACAAAACTAGGGCTCCTCAGCAGCTCTCTTAAAGTGTGGATTTTGTTGAAGGTATGCTATTTGTACTTTTTCATTTGCATGTCATCATGACTCTTTAACCGTGTTGTCGTTTGCTTTTGAAACTTGTTAAAAACATAATTAATGCAGATCGCTAGAGGTTTTGCTCGTGGGGCATTTGAATTGCTACCATATTCTGATGAAAAGGAAACTGATGAGCGGAAGGAAGAGACATCAGAATCGCCTCCGAAAGAAGCAGGCAGCCCAAAACTCTCTGTATTTCCTATCAAGAAGTGGATGAGCCGTGCAAAGAGAGCGAAGTGAATCTCTACCAAAGAGATGATTTGGTTGTGCGATATGCTTTATTGTTATTCCCAGATCAAGAAGTACAGAATTTGATATGGCTCTGTTGTTAATTCTTTCCTGTGGTGATCCAACGTCAGATAGACGCCTTCCTGGTCAATGGTTTGATAGATTTTTTTTTTCCTTTTCCAAAATTTTAGATGCAAAACCACAGTGTGTTAACTATGACGGATGCAAAGAAGTAGCACGAACATTTTAGGTGGGAGGAAACTAGATTTTCTGAGGGATAGGAATTGTTGTCAGGGCATTGATGTGGTTACAGTACATACATCAACATAGTTTTATTCCATGGCCTCATTAGATTTGTTCTGTTGGATTTTTGGTGTACTTTTCTCAGTTATTTTTTATTCATTAGTAAAATTGAAATGGATTGTATTTTGTGCAAATTACAAATAAAAATTTCATGTTAAATTCTTATGCTCTACAAATACAATCAGTCGGAAAGAATCTTCAGGGTGTGCTCACAGATTTTTGTTTTTTTTTTTGCGAGATCTGTCTGTTAATTTCAAGATCGTCTCACAAGTTTAAACGAGCAAAAACAGTTCCTATTATATGATTAACATAAATAAAAGATATACACTATGATGTGGAAAAAAGTGTGGTAATAAAGAAAATGCCATCAGAAAATATAATATCAACCGTTTGGGATCATCTGTCATGGGTGCATCGGGTATGCAACCTTCAAGTGCGGCCCTTCTCAACGAGTCTGAAGTTCTCGCCGGCAGCAATGGAAAAGGGAAGCAGCGGATCCATCTCCCGAGCTGGTGGTGCACTGTGCACTGGTGCGGTCGGTTAGCTCTGCCGATGGTGCCAGGAAAATTGCCAGTAACTGCTATTTGTCGCTCTATCTAATTAAAAAATACGCAATGCTTCCTGTATTTTTTTCGTGCGTATGGTTTTTTTTTTTCCATCGCGCATGTGGGCACTTCCGATTTTTTGGCGCCGTTTTCTTTAGCGCACGCTGTTTTTTTCCGTCTTCAATTCTCAATCATAGTTTTAGCCTTTTAAGTGGATTCAAATACAATTACATGATTATAAAGAATTACAGTACAGGAATTACATACAGAATCCAAAGAAAGAAATTACATACAAAATCCAACGAAAGGAATTACATGACCGAATAGGATACAAACTTCTCAACCTATATAAAAAAAACTGAAAACACAAACAAATAAGACTCATGTATGCACCAGATCCTTTTTTTTTTTAAAAAAATAGCAATTACCTGTTTGATGTGATATTTAACCTGCGATTACTTCATTTAGGATGACAAAAGGTATTTCTTTAGCCCTTAATGATGTACACATTATTGGCATATAGCAATCAGGATCCTTATTACTACAACACAACAAGAAGACAACTTAGCTATTCACTGGAATCCTAATACACAAAAATAACTTCCTAAAATGATCAATTAACCCAAATAACTTCCTTGAATATTAAACACCAGATTGATTGGATCTCATACCTTAATTAAGTGGCAACCATCTTTTATTAGTAATTTCCGAAGAAAAAAACCATACATCTTCTATTAGTAAAATGAAACTTTATCACCAAACTATTAACCCAAATAATACCACTATTACTTCATTATATTTTTATTTACTGCACTTCTATAATTTCTAAAATGATCAGTATACTAATAAATAAATATCATGATCCTAATTCAAACAAGGAAAACCGGCAGTGAAATTCATCTGATGTATAGATGTATAACCTCCAAAATGTTCACGAATTAAATAAGTGTGGTAGTTGTTGTTCCTGATGAACTATTAATTAACCCCCAAAATGTTCAGACTTGGACGTACTGAGCAAACCCAATCGAGGCATCCTAGGATGACAGCATCAAGTTTGCAAAATTTAAAACTGTAGGATATTTTAAAAAAGATAGTCACACAGTCTAACTACTCAAATTGCAGGTCGACTCATTTGACTGTGCAACATACTAATGCAACTATTAAAAATGCAAACCAAAGCGAAATATTTTTTTTACTTGCCCATAATTCACCCATGTTGTCTATTTTAGTTAGCAGGTTCAGTTCTAATCAGTTTTAAGGTGCTGATTCATAGTCAAGTATGTGCAAGCAGACTCCAAATGAACTCACTTTGAAGCAGCCCGATAAACTAATTACAGCTAGCCGTAAGAATTAAACTAGAAACAAGGACTTGATATATGTGAAATATGGACAAGCCCTCTGTTATATGAGATAATAGTATTAATATAAACCAATTAAATAGGTTCACTCCAAGAATAGGTTGTCCTGGAACCGCTGAAGGAATTACTGTGATTCGAAGAATGAAAATTGTGTGCAGGTGGGAGAAATTGCCAAATTTAATTTACCTGCACAATTGAGCCCTTTACAGCAGTTGGACCCTTCCCTTCAACAAGATCATAGCATTTCAGGCCATCAGCTGTGCCCAAGCATTTTGAAATCAATCAAACCACTCGGAAAAAACTAAATTCAGATGAATTGATGTTTACAGTGAGAATTCAGGAATGCCATTAATCAGAAAGCATGCCATATTATCTAGAAAATGAACAATGCACAAGAGCTAGCCAATCAGGTCCATGTACAAACACTCAATGAACACCCAGCAATTATTGGTACTATCAAGTTAGCAACTCAACCTTACCATTACAATCACCCAATTAGTCTACCTTAATACACCTAAACACGAACCAATTTAGTTAATTCTTACCCTAAATTATGTTAACAGATTGAAAAGACAGTGACAAAAAGAAAGCAGGACCACGATGGCAATTTTTCAATTTTTGATGATCTCAACAATATCTACAACGCTATTTTTAAAGATCACTTTTCTTTCACTTTTCTTTTCTATAAAGGAACTAACGGACTAAAACCAATAAACTGCCATCAATAAGTCATCATTCCATCCCCTACAACTTCCATATTCTATAGTTGTAAAATGTTCACATGTATGGGTAATTATGGGTTATACAACTGGGTAGCCCAAACAGCAGGTAGGTTCAGTTTTATCAAACACTGAAAAATATAAAATTAGTTACTTAACGAGCAGCATATATACCCTGTAGAGGTGATGTTGCAGCCTAGATCCAAGGCAGCAAGTTATGGTTGTTCAGACGAACACGGCGCGGGTGAGCTCTCCTCGAACTCAGCGGGCCGCAGCCTGGCCTCGAGCGCCGACTCAACGAGGTACGCGTCGACCAGCCTCGCCATCCTTGTGGCGTCCTTGAGGAAGCCGCGCACCAGGCACATCACCAGCGGCACGTCGAGCAGCGCCGTGCACGGTATCATCACGACGCCTAGTGTGGCCTGGTCCAAACGTCGCGCCACCATGGACTCCAGCTCCAGCAGCAGAGACGCGTTGGCGCCCACCATGCTCCTCGCCCGGAGCAGCTCAACAACTCCACCGCTGCCGCATACGCCGAGAGCTTGGTCAGCCCACGTCCACCATCACCATCGTCATTGTAGGGGAGGCTGCCAGGTTCCGCCCCTCCTACATCCAGTATTCAGATACACCCATTGTGCCAGTTTAATGTTTTAGTGCTGATCTGTAGTATATCATGGTGAATGAAGATTGAAGAATAGCTGATCATTTTGTTTACCCCTTTGTAGAACTGAAAGTCTCTGCTCCCAACTGCTATCATGCGTTCCAATATATACTTTGTTTTGCATATGCATTTCCTACGCTATTCCTAAATTTCCCCTATTCCTATGATTTGTAAATCCTGTGAACCGAAATAAGTCGTCTAGTGACAACAACGAAGAGGCAGGGAGAGGGACACAACTCAACTCGACTAAAGATGGAAACATACTATACTCCTTAGTTCTTGGTTAGAAAACTCAGTGGATCTGGCAATGATAGGAAGTTAGAATACTATTGGAAGGATGTAATTGTAGCGCTCAACAAAATACGTCTTGTAGTAACTGCAAAAGGACAGTCATGAAATGAAAACCACATTAAAGTAAGAAGGAAATTGCAAAAATATGTGGAGCTTATTCTCAAGCTAGAAGCACCACGGCATCTTTCACCTATTGGTAGTTTGAGAGAAGCCTCAAGACCAAATATGGCTTGTAATAATCCAGCTTCCGCGAGATAGGACGATTTGCTCACTATTTGAGGCGTAAATTGACCTACTAAAATATCGCATGTTTCTACCCATGACCCTAACTTTACAAGTCCACTTCTGTCCAAATTGCATAGTAAATATTCTGCTAGATGTGAGTTACTCTAGTAGTTGGACGTGATGTCATGTCTAATGAGCCAAGAGTTAATACTACCACAAGCTAGCTAGTACCTATTGCCGCAAGCCAAGACGGTCAAGCAGTTGTGGATGATATGACCATGACTACTATTTATAAAACGATTGCTCACATAAAATATCATGTAAATTCATTTCATCACAAGCCCCTATTTTATCTGTTAGTTTAGGAGTGACATACATTATTGGGATGCACATGGAAGATGTACACATCAGGGATGGAGATCAACCCCACACTCTAGAATCCAATTCGGCCACCTGAGATTGCATTGAATTCAAATGGCTACCAAATTTGCATACGAGCTCCTTTTGGGCAATTGAGTACTTGTTCGTAAGATCTTGTCATAAACTTTTAGATTTGTCCAGCCTCACCATACCCTAAACTATAAATTACTCCATTCACTTTTAGATTTATATAGTCTCACCATCAGGTTCAAGATTGTTCTTGGCACAGGAAGAACAACAACAATCTGAAGTTCATGTACTTACTAAGGCGCAACACTCCTATGGTAGTTGTAGTCGGACCGCCAATGTCGACTCCCCCCTCTCTCAAATCGAAGCTATCATCCTCTCATCGAAAGATCAAGAATCCCCGTTGCTACATCAATGGAGCTGGAGCAGCGAGACGAGCACGCAAGCATGCTTAAGGCATGAACTAAAGGATCAACATATTGCACAATCACAATCATATTGGTAATGATTAATTTATGAATAACCATCTTATTTGCTTCTTGAACTAGCCTTTATTCTAACTATAATTGCAAACCATATTGTGATATATAGCTTTCAAACTATGGTAATTGGATTTTATCACGAGTACCTTGCATTTTATCATCATGCACTGGGATTTTATCATCCATATCAACCTAGCAGACATTTTATAATCATTGGTCTATATTTATTTCTTTGAAGAACACTCACTAGTTATCTGTGTGCAGTTTTTCAAATTATTTTAGTCAAAACACCCTGATGCTCCAGAAAGGAAGCATGACCGGTTTGCAAATTTAGGTTGTCTTTGGTTGGAGATATATCATTGGATAGGAGATGGTGCATGGTGATATAGTTTTTTGAGTATATTTAGTTGGTGGGCAATGGTGGATAGGACGACCTGGAGACTGAATAGTCCATGAAGATGTTGGATGAGTGTATCTGGCCAAATTGGTCAGATGAGGAAATCCACCTTTGCTACTCTTGATCATTAGTAATTGATTAGCAACAATTAATACATTTTGTTATTAATCTACCCTATAATGCACCAACTGATGTTTACATCCTTCATACTTCATTCATCAAATCCAACGGATGAAAATCATTCAATGTTTCACATCCAACGACAGTGGGGCTCACGCGACGCGAGGTCACGCGGTGGGGGTCATGCGGTGGGAGATCGATCGCGCAATCAATCGTATCCCCTTACTCCGCTTCCTTCCTCCGCAATGGCAACTGCGCCTCCGCCTCTCCTCCACCTCCGGCTTCCCCCAAAGTCCATTCGATCCTCTCACCCTCGCCTCGCCTCGCCTCGGCGAATCGGATTCCGAGCACTCACAACCGGATCGGAGTGAGTTCCATGGCCTGAATCACTCCTCCACCTCCGGCTTCCCCCAAAATCCATTCGATTCTCTCAACCTCGCCTCGGCGAATCGGATTCCGAGCACTCACAACCGGATCGGAGCGAGTTCCATGGCCTGAATCATGGGGGGACTGGCCGAGGAGAGGGGCGCCTCTCTCTCTCACACACACACTGGTTCGTCTCCTCCTCCTCTTACCCGACTGCTCGGATCGGTCGTCATTTTCGCATTGGGGGCAATTTAGGTTTTGTTCGTTGCCTGGATTTTTGGGCTGTTGTAGGATTGGATGGGAGTTTTTCAATTTGTTGGGTGTTTTCTCGTCTGTCCTGCTGCGGCTAAAGTTGGATTCGTTTAGGGTTTTTTTTTTCACTGTAGGATCGATTTTGAATTTTTGATATGTGCAATCGTAGGTGGTTTTATCCATTCTGTCTATGCAAGTAATTTTATGAAAAAAAATTGAATCTTTGATGTGGAGTAAGCGAAGTCATAATGCCCTAAGAATATGGTCTGCTATCCAATAATCGTGACTTCTTGGATGACCAACCAATGATCGTGACTTATCTATGCACGTATTAGATGTTGATTTCACTCAGCCTCTGATATCTACATGCATGAGGCATTGCTTAGCTTAACCTGTCATTTTTTTCAGAATTATGGTTCATTAACAGTGGGGATGTGCAACATATTTATTGGTTTTCAGTGTTTCCAGATTATTTCAGTACATATATATATTACTTGATGATGAGAATGGTGTGCTCATGTTCCTATTCATATGCTCATGCTTTTCTGCTGCTGCTATGCTGTAAACATGATATAATCAAGCGCTACAGTTTTTTTAAATGCTTTTTGAAAATTCAGATTATTGCATCATCTTGTTTATCAAAAATTCAGATTATTGCATCATCTTGGACTGATGGCATATATTAATGTGGACTGGTGGCATATATTATATTTTCGTAGTGCGACTGATAGGTTCAACTCAGCATCGCATTGAAGCAGAATTAGCATAATGCACAATGCTTTACCTGTCTCTATTTATCTATGCTTTGAAGCTTTAATTTGTGCTAAATTAGGATTGGTTACTCTGGATTCCGTTGCTTAATTTGTCCACTGCAAATGCAACTCCACGACCAGCTCACCGATCGCCGGACACTGGTGGATCCAGTGTGACTGATTCCGCTAATCCTCCCATTCGCCAGCCGGCACTGCTTTGGGGAACTCTAGCTCTCATTAGGCACCTGTTGTGATCAATCATGCCACCGAACTGAAGCCGACCATCCCACTGCCTTTGATCGATTGCCTGTGTATCAGGTAGTGCTACAGCTACTTTGTTTTCTGTACTTGCTACAAAATAAGTTGATGTCAATTTATGGATTTATGACCTGCTCTCCCCTTTTTTTCACATTTCTTGACTGTGAGAGAAATAATAATAGAAATTCTTTGTAATAATAATAATAATAATAATAATAATAATAATAATAATAATAATAATAATAATAATAATAATAATAATAATATAATCAATATGCAGATTCACTGTTGAGTTTGAAAATAAATTCTTTGTAATGACGTTACTGCTATATCTTATATACCCTTCTTTGTAATTAACAGTAATGGCATCAACGTTAGTTCAATTTGAACTAACCAATATGCCATACATTAAAAACAAATGGAGCGTGAAAATAGCATTTTTCGAGGTCATATGACTAATTCCCTTGAACAAAGAACTTTAAAATAGAAAGGGAGAAAAGAACTGATTCAATTTAATTATATGACTCGTTGCAGGCTGTTGATGTTTTGTAAGTCACAATTGGGGAAAAAATTTGAACTTGTGATGGCTGAAGGAACACGATAACTTTGGGTTGCATCCCGATGTGAACAGGTAATGTGTTGAGTTGCTTTTTTTTTCTCCAAATGACTTATTAATTTGCAGTGGTACACCATGGCACCTGCTCCTTTTTTCTATGTAAGCAAGGAATTTTGGTTGGTTCTATTAATTTTTCTTTGGTTGGATGTAAGGTGTAGTTTTCAGGTCATTGGAGGCTCTATATATGCTTGTAATCCATGTGATTTCCTCTTATCACATTGAAGGCATCTCCTACTGTTGATATTTGTCGGTCCCCAAATAATACTCATCTTTGCAAAATTTTTCTTTCCTTGAATTATTCAATGTCTTAGAGTACATGACCTTGCAATGCCACTTCCTTCTTGTTGCAGCACATTATTCAGTTTGCGTTATGAATCAAAAAGTGGTTATAGTAGATAGAAATAGTTTGGAAGAACAGGGAGCCTAAAGATCCTTTCAGTGGATGTCCGTGTTTGGGCGGCTTGAGACCATCTTAATATTGTAGGTGCAGGAAATTAAACTAAGGTAAAAGCGAGATGCTGATGTTAGGTGTAGATGATATGGATACCTGAATCAGTCCAAACCTGCTTAGGTTGGAGCTACTTCTCGATAGGAATCCAAATATCAGAGGGAAGGTTGTCCTTGTACAAATTGTCAATCTAGCAAGAAGTACAGTGGAACACAGAGGAAGCAATAAAAGAAGTGGATTACAAAGTGTCATCCTTATTTACCATCATATATTGTTTTAATGAAAATATTTTATTTTATTATGCATCTGATTGTTATTGTAAATGTTATGAGGGATAGTATGAATTTTATACTATATGAGTGCATTGTTTTCCGACAGAAAAATAATGAGTTGGACAATTTCAGAGGATGTGACACAAACTGCCATCAGCCAAGCCCACTAATTATGTTTGAGTTTTTGAGTTGCTTCCCATCTTTTAGTGATTATTTCATACTCTGTGGATAATGTTTTACACCGTGCAACAGAGTTGCCTGAATATGAGATAATGTTACGGAATGAAAAGCACTACCATTATGTTAGATCTCATCTTACAATGCTTCTTAATAGATCTGTATAGCTTTGCTCAAGATCTAGAAAGGGAATGCAAATATCACTCCATATATATAACTCTCTTTATCATTTCTTTCTTAAGTGAATTATAAATTAAGTTACGCCGTAACGTTAGTACGGGCATATTACTAGTTAGTAATTAACTTGTTAAAATTAGTGTTGATTAGATATAATTAGTCTATTTTATAGTTCATTAGAATATATTTTGGCTTTATTAACTATAATTAATATATATTATTATCAATTAATATTTATTGTTCCAAACAAGAAATTGAAATAGCCATGTTTGTTGATCAGTCTAGTACGTTCAAGAAGCGGGTATTGGGAACCTTTTCCCCCGGTCGTTTGTTTTTCTTGTGCCTCCCATGATGACACACCGTCGTCACTCGCGACGAGGAGCAAACGAGGAACTTGGCCCAGCTTAGCTGTGGTGCACACACGCGGACACGCCTTATCCACACTCACCTCACCCTCACCCCCGGCCCTCTCCCATAGTAGTATCGTCATCACGAAACAAATTAACCATAGCAGCAGCATATCCTCTCCCATGCTTCCATGGATTCCTTCTAGCTTCGCCTTAGCTTCTCCTCCTCTACAGTCTACACGCGCGCATGCATAGCATCTATAGAGAGAGAACAAATTAATTATTAGGATTTAGTCGCAATGGCATTAGCCATGGCGCCCAGGCTAGTCCACCACCCTTGCTGCATGATGCTCTCCAAGAACCCAAGAACGCCGCCGCCACCGCCGGCGATGCACCACCACCATGCCCACAAGCCGCTCATCACCGCGCTCACCAGCACGTCGTCGTTCTTGCTCCGCTCCGTCGACGTCTCCAAGGACGACAAGCCGCTGGAGACGGCGACTACGACAACCCCGCCTACTCCGGCACCGGCGGCGGCGGCTCCGGAGACCGAACAAGCGGAGGCGGTGGCGTCGCCGGAGTTGGAGTTGGAGCTGGAGGAGGGGCCGAAGGTGGACCCGCGGCGGCTGGAGGAGAAGTTCGCGGTGCTGAACACGGGGGTGTACGAGTGCCGGTCGTGCGGGTACCGGTACGACCAGGCCGCCGGTGACCCGTCGTACCCGGTGCCGCCGGGGCTGCCGTTCGAGCAGCTCCCCGACGACTGGCGGTGCCCGACGTGCGGCGCGGCGCAGTCCTTCTTCGAGAGCAAGAGCGTCGAGATCGCCGGGTTCGCGCAGAACCAGCAGTTCGGCCTCGGCGGCAACTCCCTCACCGGCGACCAGAAAGCGCTGCTCATCTACGGCAGCCTCCTCGTCGGCTTCCTCTTCTTCCTCTCCGGCTACTTCCTCCAATGAACCAGTCACCCCCTCTTCCTAATTCTCTACCTCTACCTCTACCTCTACTGTGCCTGTTTCTACTAATTAAGTATATATCAGTACGTTTTATTTTTATTGGCTAATTAATTAATTAATCTGTGTGAATACATAGTGCTATTCCATCTCGAATTTTGAATTTAGATATTTAACCAGTAACTTCATCCAAATGCAGGCCTATAATTTTCTGAGTTTTTCAGCTGCTGAATCAAGCTCCTTTTGAAATTGAAATGAACAAGGGGGCAGGGATCAAGTAGCTAGCAAGGCAGTTCTGCGGTTGTGACGGGCCTAATTACATCAGTCGCCTGATATTCTATCAAATCTGAGTAAATTGTTCCAAACGTTCCTTCATAGGTCCACATCTCTTCTCTAGATCCGACTCTCTAAATATTCCAGTTGGTTAGTTTACCAAAAGAGAGACTCAGAGACAAATTTACCTTTCAATCCAATAACCTCTCCATTAAAGTCTCCACTCTAACAGTGTGTTGATACTTTTTCATGGTCAACATAGAATCACCTAACGATTTGCGGTGCAAACAATAGAGTCGCCAAAATCGTTAGATCAAAACCGGCTAGCAGAACCGATTTCTAGATTAATTCACTTTCACGAAATTAAGCGACTAATTTACAAGCAAATTAGCAAAGAAGGTAAATATCATATTTACGTGACAACGAACGACTAGTTTCTAAGCAACCTAGAAAAGGATAACCTTCTCGCTTTCGTACAGAAGCATGACCGTTTTCTGGTGAACAACGGTAAAAATTAACCAAATTCTAGGGCTGATAGAAAAGAACTAAAAAGTAGAACTCAGCCATGAAAATAAAATATGAAATAGAAAAGAACTAAAAAGTAGAAGATAAGTAGTAGATTGATAATTTGTTCGGGGTCTTTGCCTAAACTAATCTAACGCCTATATATACACAAGACAACGGCATACGGCCCCGTTATACATGGCAACTCCTGCCAGGTAGGAGGACGCTATATCAGTACGCGACGCATACGCTGAATATAGTAAAACATAGCATGATAAACAATTCACATGAAAAAGCTAAAAGAGTTTCTGAAATTTCTCATCTCACAAAAGAAAAAAATAGTTAAAGGGACGAAAGTACTCTTTAGAATTACCACTTCTTTTTTGCTCGGTAATTTTCTGATTATGTCAAAAGAAAAACAAGTGTTTCAAACCGTTAAAACTAAATGTTTCATACGTAATAGTGATATGATTCAATATGTGTCTTCAGTATGTTTCACAAAATTCTTGAAACTACCTGCTACTATTCTCTCTCCTCTCTCTCCACCTCATCCATACATACATGCTTTATTTCAGCAAGCTTCAAAATAATTTTTCTCTTAAATTACTTATCCAATCTATGATCTGATCGTACCGTTGTATTCGTTGTAATTAAATCTTTAGAACAAGATATCGCATGATTATTTTTGATAAAAGAAAGCATATGTTTCAGTCAGTTAATACATGTTGTTTCATATGTGACTGCGACATGTTTCAACGTGTATCTTCACCATGTTTCATAAAATATTTAAATGTTTCAGTTGCTATTTTTTTTTTGTTTCACCATATATAACTTAATGTTTCACTTGTTGGTCAATTGTAACATTTGACCGTCTGTTTTTTTAGGGACATCGGACGTCCGATGGGTAGATTCCTCCTAAAAGTAGGACGACGCTATATCAGTACACAACACATACGCTGAATGTAGTAAAACCTAGCATGATAAACAATTCACGTGCAAAAAGCTAAAAGTGTTTCTGAAATTTCTTATCTCACAAAAGAAAATAAAGAGTTAAAGGGAGGAAAGTACTCTCCAGAATTACCACTTTTTTTTTGCTCGGCAATTTTCTGATTGGTCTACAAACGTGGCAGTGTACGATTGCTGGATACACCTGTCAGGTAGGTGGCAGCTTTGTCGCATAGACCAGGCTAATGGACCGCGTCACCCGATCTCCTCTCTTTAAATATTTTTCCTCTCTTAAATTACTTGTCCGATCTACGAACTGATCATACCGATGTATTCGTTGCAATTAAATCTTTACAACAAGATATCATATGATTATATTATGTCAAAACAAAAACATGTGTTTCGAACCGTTACAGCTAAATGTTTCATATGTGATAGTGAGATGTTTCAATATGCGCCTTCTGTGTGTTTCACAAAATTCTTGAAACTACCTACTACTACTCTCTCTCCTCTCTCTCTCTCCACCTTATCTATGCATACATGCTTTATTTCAGCAAGCTTCAAAATGATTTTTGTCTTAAATTACTTATCCAATCTATGATCTGAACACATCGTTGTATTCGTTGTAATTAAATCTTTAGAACAAGATATCGCATGATTTTGATAAAAGAAAACATAAGTTTCAATCAGTTAATACTTGTTGTTTCATATGTGACAGCGACATGTTTCAACGTGTATCTTCGCCATGTTTTATAAAATATTTAAATGTTTTAGTTGCTGATTTTTTTTTGTTTTACCATATATAACTTAATGTTTCACTTGTTGGTCAACTGTAACATTTGACCATCCGATTTTTTAGGGACATCGGACGTCCCATGGGTAGATTCCTCCTAAAAGTAGGAGGACGCTATATCAGCACATGACGCATACGCTGAATGTAGTAAAACCTAGCATGATAAACAATTCACGTGCAAAAAGCTAAAGTGTTTCTGAAATTTCTCATCTTACAAAAGAAAAAAAAATTATAGGGAGGAAAGTACTCTCTAGAATTACCACTTTTTTTAGCTCAGTAATTTTCTGATTGATCTACAAACGTGTTAGCGTACGAACGCTGGATACACCTGTCAGGTAGGTGGCAGCTTTGTCGCGTAGACCAGGCTCATGGACCGCGTTACCCGATCTCCTCTCTTTAAATATTTTTTTTCTCTTAAATTACTTATCCGATCTACGAACCGATCACACCGATGTATTCGTTGCAATTAAATCTTTACAACAAGATATCATATAATTATATTATATCAAAAGAAAAACATGTGTTTCACACCGTTAAAACTAAATGTTTCATACGTGATAGTGATATGTTTCAATATGCGTCTTATGTGTGTTTCACAAAATTCTTGAAACCACCTGCTACTACTCTCTCTCCTCTCTCTCTCTCCACCTTATCCATGCATACATGTATGTATTTCAGCAAGCTTCAAAATGATTTTTCTCTTAAATTACTTATCCAATCTACGATTCGATCACACGTTGTATTCGTTGTAATTAAATCTTTACAACAAGATATCACATGATTATATTTTGATAAAAGAAACGATTCGATCACACGTTGTATTCGTTGTAATTAAATCTTTACAACAAGATATCGCATGATTATATTTTGATAAAAGAAAAATATATGTTTCAATCCGTTAATACTTGTTGTTTCATATGTGACAACGACATGTTTCAACGTGTATTTTCACCATGTTTCATAAAATATTTAAATGTTTCAGTTGCTGATTTTTCTTGTTTCACCATATATAACTTAATGTTTCACTTGTTGGTCAACTGTTGACCGTCCGATTTTTTTAAGGACATCGGACGTCCGATGGGTAGATTCCTCCGAAGAGGAGGAATCAATCTGCACAAATCAAGGGAAACAACTCCGAATCAAGCTCGGCCTTCCTACAAGCAGTCATGGACATGAATCAGTCATCAAAGGGAATAGAACCATTTTGGTTTGCTGCTTGCGCTTACACACTGTGGAAATCTCACAACAACAATTTGACAACCTACAATGCATCACGCAGCAAATTTCAGACACCCTAAAACTTTAGAGCCTGAGAACCAATGAAACAAACAGACAAAAAATAGCCTGGTGTGCAAGGCTTTCCTAGAGAAAAGCCTCATGTATACTCCCTTGTAAATCCGCCACCCTAGTCTCCTTTTCTTTTTTGTTTTCTTTCTTTTTCTCCTTTTTCTCTCCTCTCTTTGTATCTCTTCTATCTGCTTTCTGCTTCCAGTTAACTCTAACCTTTAACTTGTAACCTATAAACCTCATTTCTTTTAACGAAATGACTATAAGGTAGAGCTCTACCTCCTTACGTCAAAAAAGTCAAGGGCAAAAAGAATGTCTTTACTTATCTGCTTTTGGCTGACACCGATTCTAATTTCACACGGGACACGGCCGCATGTAGCGCAACGAACCAGGTCCGGCAACATCCAGATGCAGACCGACGCACTGCATCGTTCATACATCCACACGCCAACGCGTCTTCGCCTCAATTGTCCGCCTGCCACAGCCTCCAGACTCCAGTGCACCAACACTGCGATCCAATCTGCTCCAACGTGACACGTCTGGCTTCCATAGTGCTGCATCCATCTTCATCTGCAGCTGGTAATGCTGGTACACTTGGAGTAATATACCAGTACACAATTATATAGTTTACTCAGCTGCAGCTAGTATACATGCATATTTCCATGCTAAATCAAATACTAATGCAACTCAATAGTTTGCAAATACGATCACGAGTCACTGCACATATACATCTAACTAGTTCTCAAACAAATCACTCCATGAATCATAACAACTTATCTAAATAATTTGTCCTGCTCAAATAATGAAACTAACTCTTAGCCAAATTATGGTACAAACACAGTGGATCCCATATTTACTCTTTCTTTACTTCTTCCTCCCTCATCTCCCCCTTCCCACCTGACGGTTTTAGGTGGCGTCAAAGACGATGACGATGAAACCCACATCGAGAATGGCGGCATGGCCGATGATGATGAGGCAGCCGAGGGGAGGTAGGAATTGGTGCGGGACAACCGAGGGGATATGAGGTGTCGTGCATCCCCGCCTCCTCCCTTTGAACTTATGGGTGGCAGCCACCACTGGCAACCGGAGAGCAGGGAACTGAGGTTTGACGTGGGCAGGTGGCGGCAACGGAACTACTACCCCCAACGATGGCCTACGGCTGTTGTAGATCAAGACGGCGACGACGGCATATGAGACTTGATGATGCAGATCTACTTATCAAAAGTACATTGTTCTTTACTTGCGGATCAGAATATAAGGTGAACTCGTTTCTCTCTAAGTCTATGCGTGAAATATATGAGAATTTGATGCTACATAATATTTTGCACTTCATTACTTTCAGACATGAGAGATTTGGACCATTGG